ATTCAATAATTGAGAACGAGGGGTGTGCGATAGACTTACCTCCACGTGGTGCACCCTGGGCAACGTATACTCATACGGCAAAAAAGTCTATTAACCGGCAAATGACTTCTGGCTTCTAACTACCACGACCCCCCCTGGATGTCATATTCGACTCCTTCCACAGTATTCCCCTTACCTTTTTCTCTACCTTTGTGTCCGTCTATCTCTTTTACATCTGTGAATCGCTCTTCTGTTCCCCACCCCTCGACTTTCTGCTACTTTGATGAACCTTCCCTCTGTGAAGCCCGAAGCCAGCTAAATGGCTAATGATATCTATCAAAACGCCTGCCATTTGAAATAAATAAATAAATAATTGCAAACGACAACCTCACATTTCCACCGCTACTTCGACACCCAAATTAAATTAAAATCAATTTTAGCAAAACATACTCAAGACTATTCTTCCCCGAATAAAATATGCAGATATTAGACATATATATGCATATATATCTCTCTTTGAAAGACATTAATTCAAAAAAAATTGCATATGGATAAATAATGCCTGATTGCAAAAGAGAAAGAAAGCAAAATGGAAGGAAGAGGTGGAGGAGGAGAATAAGAGAAGGTGGAAGAGTAGAATAGCTTAAATCTCGTTACTGATATTGCTGGAATTGATATGATCTAGGTGAAGAGGAGGGGGAGTAGAGAGGCGAGCAAGCACGCGGTGGCATCTCATAGGGGAGAGCGGAGATGGCTCCATGGACACTCCACCGAATTTCTCCGCCGCCACCGCCACCGCCACCGCCGCGGGCAGTATGGAAGACTATGGAAGGAGAATTGCCACCTTTAGGCAGAAACGCTGGTCCACAACCACTACTTACTGGTCGCTGTACATTGATTGCCTGGAAGTGAGAAACGCCACAGTTGTACTTGGTTAAATTTCAAATAGGCAGAGGAGCTTCAGAAACATGAGAGCAATTACCAGTGCACAGGGGTTAGGTGAAATGCGCTAATATTTAGTTGTTGGTGGTGGTGTTTTAAAGCGAGAGGTGTAAGCGAGAGGGAAAGTAACGACTTACTTAGAATCGCACATACTGTAAAACGAAAGATTTTGCTTAGCTTTCTCTTTTGTAGTAGTCATTAGAGAATGCGGAATAATATTAGGAAAGCGATGAAATTTCATTATTTTTTTAACATTATGTGGGGAGATGCATAGGTGAAAAACAGCCACTTGTAATGTGAATGCAAATGAGTACACCCGGGACGCTGCGCCCTATCTGCATTCATTTAGGTCCATGATAGCATAGTGGCTTGACCACTTAACACGCCAATTTAACCTATCTCGGTTTTTTCAATACCTTATTCGCATTTAGAGCCAAAAAGCATGATTTATAGTTAAGCTTAGCAAAGACCGTAATAACTTAATAAACACAAAGAAAGCTGAAATCGGTTGTTTTTTCAAAGACAAGAAATAAGCTCGTCTTTCCAAAATGAGCGGCAGAAAATGGCATATAGGATCACTAATTTCCATGAAAATGGTTTTCCTCAATCGAAATTCATCTGAGTAATAACCACTTCAGGTTCAGGAAATTTTTTTAAACACAAGGAGAAGTAGGCTTGGAAAAAAAGGGGTCATATGACTTGACATTACTGCTGGTTGAGTGGCCCATTGATCGCGTGAATAGTGTTTTAAGCAGAGATGCGCAGTTTTTGTTAGAAATTGGTTTGATCATGAGACTTACAAACCATTTCGGCAAACAAGTGGTCACTTCCCAAAATATTCCTGGCAAGAAAAAGGGGATCATTGGGGGCAAAACGGCAATATTTATCGCCCAGACTACGCATATATAAAACGAGGTCGTCGTCTTAAGGTGTCGTAGACGGTTTCCGTGCAATTCAAATAGGAATTTGACACTACCGGTTGTGTCAGGTCATTGCAGTCGGAGGTAACTCACACTTGCTGGCTCGTTATTTCACAAACACGAAACGGCGCCTCGAGGGAAAGGAATAACCCCTGGAAAAGGCTGTCTAGTGAAGGTGGAAGTAATGGAATCATCTGCCCCACTAAATCAGAAGGCCATGAGTGGAGCGAGATCAAAAATTGTAATACACAACGGCAATATGTCAACTCGAGAGAAAATTGAAAGAGTGGAGAAAATAAAATGAGAGAGAGAGGGGGAATGTCAAAATTATAACGCCTGCTTCTACTGCCACGCAAATGGCCGAATACTTTGCGTTACAGGGTGAATTTAGGAAGCATGGAGGAAAGACGCAAGACATTCTTCAGGAATTGAAGGAGAATCCCTCACAATAGCGACGAATCCTGCCACCTCATGCGATTGATCTGGACTGATGTTCCCACATCACGGTGAGAGCGTCACAATCATAAAAAAGACTTAACAAAACTATCTTTCTATCGAACAAGGTAGACTTTTTACACAACAACACTGCTCAGTACTCCCCCAGTTATTTTGCTAATAGACTGCTTCCCCACACTGAAAATATCATAATCACCCTCCGATTTTCCACACAATCACACTCTCAACGAACCCAATATCTATTCGGGCAGAAGGCTCCCTCCTGTTTCACTCTACTGTCGTGGTGAGCATTGATAGAAGAAAATAAAGTCCAAGGGTCATATTACTTACATAGACTTCAGCGTTTCCAATTTTTGTGACACTACTTTGGTGTTGGGGAGGGGACGAAGAGTGGGAGGGATTCTTTGTCCATAAAGGTGAGGATTCCCGATTTTCTGTGGAGGGATCGTCGGACGAAACGGTGGGGTGAATAACTATCACAGCGTTCTCATTAGAGGGAGCACCTTGACGACTCTTATGATGAGAATGTGGGGGAGGCTTAGCTTGCAACCAAGGGGAATTCAAATCGCAATCTACAGAAGTAAAGCGTACATATATTACTAATGGCAATACAAAAATATTTTTACTTAGAAGACGAAAAAATGATTTCTAACCTTCATTTTTATAATCCCGTGGGGGCAAGTTGAGGTCATCATTCGGATTGTGCCTCTTCGCATCCTTTCGATCAACAACACGGTAGATTGCAGAGTTATTGGCGTAGCCAGTTCCAGAGGGAACAAACCAAACGTTTTCTGAGTCCTGAGGGGTTACAGGATCAGCTCTAGTGAAGTTGAATGTTTGGATTGGCGAATGCCGCTTGCCATTCTTGACACGACGAAGAGAAGTGGGAGTGGATTTATTTCTACTACTAGTATTATTACTTTCATTTGGAGTGGTGTTTGGCGCCTAATTTAAAGAAAAAGAGCACTACTTAAACCAATCAAGTAGTTGTTCACAGCTAGGGCCACTAAAATTTAGCTTCAAAGATTTGACAAAACGTGGAAACGTTTTGAAAGAGATGATCAAAACTAGAGGGTGAATATGAAATTTTTGGGGTTTAAGACTCACCAGTATGATAATGAAATCCCTGCAACGCTGATAGTACAAAATAAATAGGTTCGGTTGATTGTCTGTAAAAATGTTTTGCTTTATTGAATTTCACAGCGACTAAACATAAATGTACTCGGCTATGTTAAATTCAAGTTAGATCTAATTATATGCGAGCATTTTAGTCATTAGACGATGAATGAATGCTGAGAGGCAAGCCAATCAGGAAACAGCATAAAAATCCTAAAATTTTGTCAATAAAACATAAGAACTGGACTCAAGTAGTAAATTATGCGCAAATGGAATAAAAAATCACATTTAGAAGGAATAATTCGGAATCCCGATTTCCATATCCTCTCAACCCCAATCATGGAGCATATCACACGAAATCTTTTATTGCCGAATACTTTCCTTCAATAACAAAATGGTCCATTTATACCCAGTAGTGGATTAATAATGAGACGAATACTAAAATACATTTATCTATTAAGAATGCTGCTAACCGTGTTTATTAAAGCCAAAAAAAGAAACAATTGAAAAGCTTTGGCTGTAAAGCGAAAAAGAGTGTGATACACAGGTGAGTCAAAAAGCTCTCAGACAAACTCCATAATTTATTTATTTAACAGATGATTACATTAACTTTTTTCTAAACAGGCACCATCGTTGCCCATACACATTGTAAGCTTTATGTCCACCTGTAAATTCCCTCATTGTAGATCTTTGAGAGCTGTAACTGGCAACATGAAGTTACATGTCTTTTTCGCCTCAACAAAAGATGCAAATTGAACGCCTTTAAGGTGTTCTTTCAGCATTGGAAACAAAAATATCTGAAGGAGCGAGGTCTGGACTAAAAGGAAGAAGTGCAAGGTGTTTCCCCTAGAAATTCACCCCTCAAAAGGGGCCTGGCGTCTCTTGAAGAATATGCAGAGACATTGTCATGATGAAACAAAATTTGATTGTGCACTTTCCAGAGCAGTTTTTGGCGCGAAGGATGTCTCCAACTTCTTCAAAACGCCTTCAATAATAACTTAAAGGGGCTTTTTCTGTCCTTCTAGAAAGTCCATCAATATCACTCCTTTTGAATTCCAAAATAGTATCCATCACCTTCTTAGCGCACCTTTCTGCTTCAACTTGACAGGCCCAGGTGCTCACTTTGGATGTCACTCTTGATTGCGTTTTATTTTCTAGATCTCATAGGAAGACTCAGGTTTCATCTCCGTTAACAAGGGGGATAAATATTATCCTCATTTGCTTCCACTTAGCCAAAGTTGCTAAAGAAGGTTTAGCTCTGTGGATCCAGTTGTTGTCCCCCCCCCCCCCCCAAGCATTTGGAACTCACTGGACACATCAAAAGCTTGCCCAAGCCTAGATTTTCGGTGAGAATTGAAAATGGTAATCTGTGCGAGATTGCTACCTTCTTGGCATTCTCCGTAATTCGGTAATTCGGTCATCTTGTTCATGGACTAGGTTCTGCCCAAGAGAGGTGTTTACTTAATTTTTTTCTGTGGTGGGTGTCCCTCCTCGTGGATCGTCATCCAGGTACACTCTTTCCACTTTCAGTTGTTTAATCCGATCATAAATTTCGGCACCACATAGCACAGGGTCCCCAGAAATCTGTTGTAAAGCTTCCACGATCTGAACGGGGTTTCAATTTAATTTAGTTACAAATTTTAATTAGCCCTGAACGCAAAACTTTCCATTTGAGGAGTTTGAGATGAAACCGGTCTTGATCCTGATCTTACATAGAATGACCAGACAGTTATATGTTATTAAAGAAGTTCTAAAGACATGCTTAAAGTTGCTTAAGCTTGTAAATCTTGGCTCTATATAAGGCCGAAGCATTTGCCTGAGAACTTTTGACTTACCCTCGTACTAATTTTAAAGAAGGGAAAATTTTGTGAAAACGATGCATTTCAAGAAGACAAATTAAAATTGACTGAGAGACATAAATTGTTTGTTTGAATGCTATGACCGAAACCATGCATACGAGGATGAATTGCTAGGGCGAGAACAAGATCGCAAGAGGTATAGCACTTAAAAGTTTAGTAAAAATGGTGACGGAGTATTAACAGCGCTTCCAAATACCCTTACCTCAACTTAACTACGCTTTACCATTGATTGTTAAATTCCAATCTTCGCACCACAAAGTTAAGTGCCAGGTGCACTCATGTATGCGCGCTTATACCAATCGTGGTTTATTAGATAGCTAATAAGTCCCCGTGATAATGATATTAGCATAATTTCAAAAGCATTTCTGCTTAATAGCATTACTTTCAACAAATCAGGTTCTATGAATGGTAATGCTGGATTACAGAGTACACTAACCAATTCGTCTTGGGCGATTGATTAATTTATTGGTAGTTTCTGTATAGCTACCCCAATTCACTTTTTCTCTTTCACAATCTGAAAAAAACACGCAAATTAATAATGATCCAAGGATGTCTGGGATCAACACATTACCTTGGAGATTCGACGCTCCGTCATCAATACGCATATTCTACTGGAAAACAATTATCTGAGTTCAGAGCACATTATAGTGATAACTAAAATCGCCACTTAGCAAATGAATAATTCAATGAGATCTTTATGAGTAAGTTATGCGAAACAGAACCACAGAAATGAAAATTTGTGTACCTCACTTGAATAGATACATTCAGGCATTTTTAACTCTTCTGAACATGGGGGCGGGGGAGATAAGTTGGAAATGAAAATTTAGTAGCCGGGGCTAATGAGTCATGGATATTTCAATATTTAAGGTTAGAAGAGTTCAATGCCGAAGAAGGAGCCAGAAGGCCACAAACAATTAGATTGTGCCGCGTTATTAGACGCCAGTGCGAGATTTGCGAACTCTTCTTCCATATTCAGATAACAAGAAGTTGGAAGCGCTTTCAAATGTCAGTGTAGCATAAAAATCCTTGATAAAACGTAATTTAAGTCTACGAAAGAGCATATCTAAATTCCTTTGTTCAAATTCTACGAAACAGCGATGTTTCATCAATTTTTTCATTTATTCCAATGAAAAGGAGTACACATGGCAATAGTAAAGGACCAATATAAATAAACAACATTTTTACCAAATTCAAATATCACAGAGTTTTGCTCCATTAGTGAATTTGTTGATCAAATACTTCTAAAAACAAGTCAAGTAAATAGCATGAGAATCAAACTAGACTTGAAGGAAAAATAACTCAGAAATTACAAAAATTATTGAAGAGTAAATTGAGAATGGCCAATATAAGTAGACTTACACAGGAGACATTATGTCGTTTGGGAAGACTGTGGTGGTGATGGTGCTGTGGATTTACACTAGAAACGGAGGCAGTGTCCGTGGAGATTTGAGGAGAAGTGACGACGGAAAGTGTGGAATTCACCGACTGTTGACTTCCTCGCAGACGACGACGACGACGCGAATCCATTGAAAGCGGCGAATGCTATAAGGAGAAAGCATACTAACGGAGATTGCTCACACTAATATTAAGATAATTAGCTCTCAGCGACATTCTCCAGAAGCACCTCAAACAAACCAGCCCACAGCCAGATTACTTTAATACCATCACCAAAACATAACAGAATTAAAACACCCAAAAAAAACATTTAAGCACTCGTGTCTACCAGATGTTGGAGAATTTTATTCTGTATATTCTTGGTTGAATAACTAAGAAAGCAGAAAATATAAAGAGCTTATGAATAATCTTGCCTAAAAAGAAGCCATAGCACAAATCGAAATCTAATTAATTGTTAAACAATGACAGTATAAATTAACAATGAAAAAAACAGATTGTTGTCCGATTGGAAGTAAAGCACTTAGTCAAGAGATTGCAAGAGGGGTATCGAGGAAGGCGTGTCAAAATGAACAATAATTGTACGTATATCGCCTATTACTTGCCTCGAAAAATGGTGGAACACAACGAAGCTTACAATACGTATTTCCTTTAAACATTAGCATATTAATTGACGCTGAAAACGATGGCAGTTAGAAAAGAATTGAAAAATGAAGCGATTGCATTCAGCATATTTCTGATCCCCATCTCTTTATCATCCGCTTCAAAGAGAGAAGGGGAAGAATCTAGAAGGCTAATCGGGATACATTAACCACATTTTCCTATTAACTTATAATGAACATCCTGGGAATTCGTTACAGTAATGATAATGTTTCAAAAAGTGGGCAAATATTCAATAGTCCCCACTTGATTGGAGAATAAATTACCTGGAAACTTGATCCAGTTGCTGTCGACCTCGATGAAATCACGTGCTTAAGCGGTCGAATATCGGGTTTTGCTGCATCGCCGGCGGTAACGTCACTAGAAATCGGATGATCCGACCTTAAAACGCCATCCTTCTCTGTGATATTTGTTCCAACTCCAGAATCGTCCGTTTTCGACTTCTGACTTCGAGATACATCCTGTTGTTGCTCCTTCTTACACTGATCCTCTTCATCTGAATGGCGAACTTCCCAGATAGCCATTGGCTGACCCATAGGCTTGGTTGGCAGCATGTCAGGAGCTGAAAGAAAAGAATAAGCTCAAAAGGCACCAGAACCACTCCCATTTCGCTATTCATGCAAGCTTGTGGATAATAAATGGAATATCCAGTTTCTTTAGCTTTTCATGCAGATACTACTTATTGACTGTTACTTAAGTAGCCAAAATACCAGGAGAAGTATGCTTCACCTTTATGAGACTCATTTTCTTCTGCTTGACTGTGAAGTCTAAACTGCCAAATATCAGGAGGGACTTCACGTTTTTGACTGAAAGACATCAAATCGAGTTCTAAAATTGTGAAATTTAGATACTACTTAAGACTCCGATTTCGACAGTCACTGAGAGTTATGAAGATCCTAACAAATAATAACCTTATTAACTTAAAAATAAGAGAAAGTACTTACTTAGGGGTGGTGGCGTCTCCAAGTTAGAACGCCGAAGATCTTCCAGACAGTCCTTAAGCGAGTCAATGACATCGTCATCGGTGAAACCGAAATCTTTTGAAATCTCATCCTGAAGGAAGGTAAAAATCTGCATCTGATCCATACGTAGTAGGCGCTCTAGAATAGACATGAAGTAAGTATAAACAGTAGATAATCGAATTTAGGCGATTCCAAGAAAGGGGGGAGGAACTTACGTTTGTGCATCTTAAGGATATTATAGGCCATGGCAACCACAGCCTTCTCGCCTTCAAGTAGGTAGATATCCCAAATTCGAAGAGTAAGAGATATTGGTAGCTAGGGAAAAGATAGCGAGAAAAATGAGTATTTACCAGTTAAATATGTAAACAGACAAATTCAAGAGGACAGTAAAGAAAGGGAACATAGCATATGGAATAAAATGTATGGCCTCAACTTGAGAAAAAAGCCAGTGATTGAAATCCGATAAACAAGCCTGAAAGATACAATGTTATTGCTTTGTTTTGGGAAAATAAATTTAACAAAGGCAGCGACCATGTTACCCTGACAGTGAGCCAGCAGATTGGTGAAAAATTGGCACCAATCCGGTGGGGGAAAAAGCCATTAATGTAGGAGGATAAAAGAGGGTCCTTGTGAACACAGAGGAAGAAGTTAATAGTGAAGAGGGCGACAAAGATGAAAGAGACACGCTGAGACATGTGAAGTTGTGTGTTAAAGTGTATGGTGGACACTACCTACTGTTGAGTAAGTAAGTTAAATACTCTTCAATAAAGACACCGGGTGGTCATGTCAAAAGAAGCCCCCCCCCTACTCTTTTGAATACAGAAAAATAAGTTGATATATTATATTACTAAGTTAAAAGTAGTAAGAAGGGAATATTATAAAGTTCAGCAAAGGGTTGAAAGTGCTCCTCATGAACTTCGATACATAACCCAGGAGGTCTCAATATGGTTTGAGAAACTTAGATCAATTTGTCTGGTGTGAATACCGCAATCTCACTGCAAATGGTCGTTTTCAACTCTTCGTCATCGCTTTGTGTTGTCAGTAGGTTGTAATGTTCAAAACACCCCTCCCCTCTTCACACATGTAACTGTTTCAATAACGCTATGTTTGCTTTGCGTCGACTTCCTGGCAGAGTCCAGTGAATACGATTAATATTTTGGGGAGGGGGAAACAGTATGAACACACTGTTACGTTTGACGTTAGCGACCAAATATGTAGCTTTAAGCTAAAGGAATCAGTTTCTGGACAACAGGAGCAACTGTTTGTGGGTATTTTGTGGCGAACCCTTCACATCTAACGTTACGAATGATTTACATTTCGAATATGCTACAACACTAAGTATTCTTTGTTCAACTGAAAACAGCGGTCTGCAAGACTGTATTCACAGGCGTTATAGAAATGTGCCAGCCCACCAACACTAGGAAATACGCATTTAACACAACATAGCAGCTGGAAATCACGTGGTGCTGCGCAGGCTCTCAATGCCAACTTTCAGTGAAATACAGGACACGCGACTCCTTTTACCTAGGACGTATGGTTAATAATAATTAATTACAATTTTAAATATCTGGTAAACGCACACAAAGATTGTGGGTCATCGATGGAGATAATGTGGACAAAAGAGAGCATTTTGCTCCATTCCCCACGTATATTAATTAGGAGGCTCCTAACCACAAGCATACAGCGGTACAAAGAAAACTTGTGCGAATTCTCATTATAGCCTTGAATTGGCAAATAGTGTCTGAAGGAAGAGCAACTTTGTCTTACCTCTTTTCGGGTGTTGTATAGCAATATCTAGCAAGCGTCAGGACATGGTAACAGAAATAAGACTTTGGAGCACGGTTAAGAAACTCGGATAAAATTTTATCTTTCATCATCAAGAGAGAGTGCAAGCAAATTTTCATCAAATTTGAATTTGTAGGCCTATTAAGTGTCGGTGAATGAGAGCAAGCAAACAATTATGCGATACACACATACACACACACACCTCTTCCAAAGCCCTTTCATAAAATTTAGTGGACAATCAAAGCTAACCTCGTGAATATTCAGAAGATAGAGGAGGGAAAAGTGCAAATAACAACCCCGAGATCATGAAAAATCTCCATATTTCGAAAAAAAATATCCACAGATTAGACTCTCCTTTCCTTTTCAAACAGCAACCCACTTCTCTTGGTCAAAAGGACAACTTTGTATCAACATTAGATTGCATAAAAACAGGATTAAAATTTCTACCACACACACGTGACCCACAGGACATAAAAACTGGACAAACACCCCACCCCACCCCCCGCGCTCCAGCCACATTGAGGTCATAAAATTTTTTTATTAAAAGCTTGCTTCCAACTCTCCTATTTCCTAATCCCTCCTAAAAGATACTTTCCTTCTCTACCCCATTTCTTAACCATTGACAAATACACCAATTTGATAAATCAACTGTTATTCTTCTGATTTTGACAGTCTGTTTAATGCTGCCAGCCCAAAGGAAGAGAGACCAAGGGGATTTGCAAGAGGATAACCCTAAGCGCAATGGGATTGGACGGATAAAGTCACTTTAAAATGGAGAGTAGCGTTAATTTTAACTCACCCTGCCCAAGAAGCACTGCATGTACCACTTAAGGGCGTAGGTGGAGGTGTCAACCTGTTCCTTGCGGAAATGTTTCCAAATTTTCCGCAGATGAGTCTTGAGTACACGTTCGTGGTGAGTGAAGTATCTGCGAAGACCAGGGAAATCGCGGACGAAGAGACAATGCATCTTGTGACGGGGACTGTCGAGTAGTTGAGCAAATGCCCAAAAAGCCTCCTCTTCATCCATGATGTAGATTAGAAGCATTCCTGCGATGTCGCTCATTCCCTGAAATAGTAAATTGGCATGACATTATGTTTCACATTAAAACCCACAGCATGAATAACAATTAATTGAGACAGAACTTGAACTCAAGAAACTCTAAAGTAGCCTAACCAAAGATAAATTGAAAGGGATGGAATTGCTAAGAGTTTTGATTCACTCTATTTGACGATTTGAGTTGTATACAATACTGGCTTAATGTGTAGCTCACTTCTTCATATTGCCCTATTTATCCACAGATGGCTGCGTAAATGCTTGTGCACCATGCTCGATATCTGCTAACCAAATTATTGATTTTTCCATTCCAACGGCAAGACCCCCATGGAGACCAAAGATAAGCAATCCTCGAAATTGGCATTGGATACCTTCGATCAATAACTTAATGCTGTGAGCATTCCAGTTAGCGGTAGGAATAAAGATGCAAAGCAGTTTTTATACCACTGAATTCCATATAAAGAAACTTTTGCCAAGTGGAAGGCTCACATTCGAATCTTATGCGTTACTGAACAGGAATCAAGGAAGCTGTCAACATTTTTTCTCAAAAGTTTCGACGATTCACTATCACTAGCCACTACTTTGCTGTTTGGAAAATTCCCACCTAATAGAGATTAAGCTTCAATTGAAACTGAAGTCCCAAAAGAGCCCGTCTCATGCTGATATTTGAAATCAATTATAATCACAGTAAAGTGACCTAGTACACTATTGAAATAATTCAAGTATGAATGCTTTGAAAGGACAAGGTTCACCGCTTGGAATGGTAAGGAATTTCTAAACTATCGCCGATTTTTGCAGGTCTTGCATAACTTGAAACCTGCAAGTGTGCGTATCTATATCTATCGGGGTGCGCGATAGACTCACCTCCATGTGGCGCACTCCGGGCAGCGTATTCCCATAAGGCAAAAAAAGTCTATCAACCGGCAATTGACTTCTCACTTCAAATTACCATCACCCACTATATGTCACATCCGACCACTTTCGCAGTACGCATCTTACCTTTTCTCTTCCTTTGTATCTGTCTGTCTCTTTTGCATCCGTGAAACACTCTTCTGTCCCCCCCCCCTCGATTTTTTTCCCTTCGATATTTCTTCCCCTCTGTGAAGCCTGAAGTCAACAAAAGGGCTAATGATAACTATCAAAACGCATGCCATTTGAGATATATATATATATATATATATATATATATATATATATCATCACCTACGACATTATCAATAACCTTTCCTAACTTACGAAATAAAAATTAATAGGAAGCAAAAACTGTCCAATGAACTTCATCTAATATATATTGACATTTTAATCCTACACAGTCTATTTACTAGAAGAAAAAGTTGCGAGCAAAGGAAAGCGACATAAATCGATAAGTAGCAAGTGCAATAAAATGACAAAGGATCTCTCGCCCATGAGACGCTTATTGATTAGATTCGTCCCAAGGCTTCATCAAAGCGTAATGGCTCTTTGATTAATTATGATGATGACCGGTATTGACCCTTCAAATCACCACTTCTTACAAAAGTTGATGTTAATAGAGCAGTGTAGGGAGGACTAAAATATTAAACTTAAGAGAGATTCCATTTTACTTCTACATTTGAAATCAAAATATATCAAAATGCTGACCCTTCCGATAACGGAATCCGATCAAATCATTAGAGTATTATCACCAAGGCAGAGGACACCAAACAGGAACTCATTCATGTTCGATGATGCATGAACACATGAGAAACCCATAATTGTATAAACTCCCACAATAATAATGCTCCTAATATGTGGACTGTAACGCATAAAATCAATAAATAAGGTCACATACGTTGGTAGTAGATCAAGTTGAATGAGTACGCTAATAATTGCATTTGACAATGGAGTGGATCATTTCGCTTAAAAAGAGTGCATCGATGAATTTCAAGCGCAAAGTCAATGAGTCAATTTGGAAGACTTGCCCACAAGTTAAAAGATAAAACTGAACGTATGTTTAAAAGAAAATGAATAATCGCTTAACATTAAAATTTCCGACACTCCTTAAAGCGCACTAGGCATGATTGCGAATAAGTAAATCGCAGTAGATATGAGGACGATAGCATGATTCCTCATGAAGAATTAGAAGACACCACCTCCACCCCACATGGTGCTCATCTTGGCAACCCGATCAGGCAGCAAATATGGCTGCAAGCGTTATCATTAACAGATAAGATCACGGAGGATTAAAAGCCAAAAAGTTAAAAGTAATGAATTCCATTCGCTTATTTTAAGCAAATGGGGTGTGCAATAGACTTGCCTCCACGTGAAGCACCTTGGGTAATGTATACACGCACGGCAAAAGAAGTCTATAAACCGGCAGTTGACTTCTGACTTCAAACTGCCATGACCCGACTCAATGTCATATTCCACCACTTCCATAGTACTCACTTTACTCTCTACTTTTGTGTCTGGCTGTCTCCTTTGCATCTAGGAAACACTATTCTGTTCCTCCTCTCTGTGAAAACCGAAATCAGCTAAAGGGCTTATGATAACTATCAAAACGCATGCCATTCGAAATATATAAATAAATTTTAAGCAAACAGATTCACCATAAAGCTGAAATTTTCTACTGCAATTAAAGAGATTACAGTGAAATTTTAAGAATCTGAAGTGTCGGTTGAGTTAAAACAATTACATATGATTAGTAATGGAAACCAATAGCATCGTATATTAATAGTCTAGCCACTGGGTGATTTGGAGAATGATATGAGATCTCAAATATTTCGTGAGAAAGTGTCTTTAAATGTACTTTGTTAAACTAAGTATCTAGTGAAGCGAAAAAAACGAAATGGAGGGCAGATTGAGATTAAATGGAAGCTGAATTTGCAGGTGTTTCTCAGGCCTGACATGAATCTCGTCTTCATTGGTTTATATCGTTCCAACAGGGTTATTTTTTTCTCTCCCGCAGTGGTTCACACGATCCAGTTTTGAGGAAAAAGTTATAATTTTAGAAGTTTGTGGGCATGTTGAAGATATTTTACCTACATTTTCCATGTGCTGGTGCTTCGCTTCGGTAACCATCCTATTTTATGTGTCTTCGCCAGTTTTAAATCGCATAGTTTAAATATTTATTGCAGAATAAACGGGTTTGATTAATTTAAAGAGAGGGAAGCTTTTTTCCAACTTTTATTAATTAATTAACAAAAGTAGAGATAAGTAAAATTAGAACTAAAAATAATCCTTTTGTCAGCGTTTGTTTATTAGTCAACTACAATTACTTCCACAAACTTGATGGCTATAGTAAAATTAGAGTTCGAATGTGTAACAAGTCACAGTTACAATGACATAAATCAGTGTCCGCCTCATTCCAAAAAAGAGGACTTCAAAACGCACACAGTGGGAGGAAGGACCGATGGTAATGGATAGGTCTGCTTAGTAAAGAACGGCAACACAGTTCGACTTGATGACCATGCACTTACGGAAGAACCCGCTATGGAAAACAGGCTCGTGGGGTCAAAATTGTGACATTAACGAAAGAATACCTCCGTATTTGGATAGAATAGACGCAAAAAATGATCCCTTGGGTAATAGAATGGAAAATGGCTACAGCTTTCATACTTATCACTGAAAATTAAATTGAACTGTAAAAACAAGAAATAAGAAACAGAATACGAACTTTTCTTCAGAGAGGAGGCTAAAGGATGCTACACCTCCACACAAGACAAGTGTTGGATGACACTAGTCCTCGAGACGTTTGAGGACACAGTAGTCAACCCCCGCATATTCATTAAACAACTCACAATGAAATCGAAAATCAACAATATTCACCAAATGACAATGGGGTAAGTGAAAAGTGGGTCTATTGGCGTCGTAAAACTTTGAATGAATGCGCGCACATACCTGACAATAGCCAACCTCTGTGTTGTACATGGAGTAAGCAGCAAGAATTCGGAAAAGGACTTGCTGACGCGGACCGAAGGCCTCATTGAAGAAGGTGGTTGATCGGAAAGTTCGATTTATATCTAAATCGATTTGTTCAATGTAAGTGGAAGAGGCAAATGCATACTTCCGCATATCCTAAAAGACATAAAAGAGAGAACAAATAAATTTAGTTGAGGTAAAAGGCTCTGTCCCACTGATTTTGGGTAGAGAAACTAGCATCCTATAAACAACCACCGTCTATGAACCCACATTAGGCTTTTTTGATCGAATACCTTTGATAAGAACCAATCTAGAAAAAATGGCTTGCAAATTTGAATAGAATGCACCAATGAGAAGCTTGGGCGTGAAATATACCCAAACCCAGTTGCACGCTACTTAAGTTCATTTGTCGACTTCCCTCGCCCTTACAACATTAAATATTGGCCCTCATAGTATTCCTCCCACCCATGCGAAAGACTTACCTCCACGTGGTGCAACCTGGGCAATGTATACTCATACGGCAAAAAAGTCTATTAACCGGCAGTTGACTTCAGACTTCAAACTACCATGGGCCAACTGCATGTCATATTCGATCCCTTCTACAGTACTTATGTTACCTTTTCTCTGCCTTTGTGTCTATCTTTCTGCCTCCTTTAAATCCGTGAATCATTATTTTGTCTCCCCCCCCCCTCGACTTTTAGTCCCTTTGCTGTTCCCCCTCCTCCTCTCTGAGAAGCCTGGCGTCAGCTAAAGGGCTAATGATGATGCCATTTGAAGTAAAATAAATAAATTTTAGCAATAACACGTTCCTCGATGAACCCTCATTAAGAGCCCGAATTTGAAACGGTAGATGTGATGGTTAAGTTCTGACTGTTGGAATGCCTTGAAAATCAAAAAAACAAAACAAAACATCCCGCAAAGTTCTGAATTTAATAATAACGCGGTAATTACCGAATAGCGGCAAATTCACCATGAATATTGCAAAGTACGGAAATTAGGAGACTTGTACGATAATTAACAACGAATTTTTTAATTTTGGTCTATTTTAGGGAGAAAAAATAAAATGAAGTTAACCAAGGAAGCCACAAGTGGGATAAAAACTGCACAAAACAAAATACAGACTAAATCTATAGTTAAAACATTTTACTTGACAACGGTGAAAATAAAGCACCAAGTGAAAAAAAATTATTCAAAACTCGTTTGCCATTTTCCTAAGGAGTGCTTAAATGACAATAGGAAAAAATTGTGGAAAGCAAGCAATCGCGAAAGCGCTGAGAAAATATAAGAGTGAGAAGGAGAGTCGGGAAACCCAGTGGTGACCATGACACGATTCGCAGTCAGGGGACTATACAACAATTTGGTTGCACTCTCCCAATACCTACTTGCATCGCATTAAATGTTGACGATGGCTATGTAAAATTAGCCCCATTAAACATTTCTGGGCCGCAGGTGGTGGAGGTAAGTTATGATAACAACAAAGGGTGTGCGATAGACTTACCTCCACGTGGTGCACCCCTGGGCAACGTATACTCATACAGCTAAAATGTCTATTAACCGGCAGTTGAATTCTGGCTTCTAACTACCATCACCCCACTGTATGTCATATTCGACTACCTCCGCAATACTCATCTTACCTTTTTTCTACCTTTGTGTCTGTCTCTTTTACATTCTTAAAACACTTTTCTGTTCCTCCCTCCCCCCTCTCAACTTTTTTCACTTTGATGTTCCTTCCCCTCAATGAAGACTGAAGTCAACTAAAGAGCTAATGATAACTATCAAAACGCCTGCCATTTGATATAAATAAACAAATGATAACATCAAACTGTCGTGAAAAAATGACAGCTTTACTTTCTACTCCCGAGGTCGAGAATAAAAAGACAACCGAAGTGCCCATAGAAGAATGGAAACATTGAAGCATTTCGCACCTACTGCAAGATGTAATAAAGCCGTATTTTCGTTATGAGTAATCATTAAAAAACAAAATTCTTTTCAAAAATAAAAGATATAT